CGTGCGTGGCGTGCGTGGCGTGCGTGGCGTGCGTGGGTGCGTGCGTGCGTGGGTGTGTGTGTGCGTGCGTGGCGTGCGTGGCGTGCGTGGCGTGCGTGCGTGCGTTGCGCGCGCGTTGCGTTGCGCGTGCGTTGCGTGCGTGGCGCGCGTGGCGTGGCGTGGCGTGCGTGGCGTGCGTGGCGTGCGTGCGTGGCGTGCATGCGTGCGTGGCGCGCGTGGCGTGCGTGGCGCGCGTGCGTGGCGTGCGTGGCGTGCGTGGCGTGCGTGGCGTGCGTGGCGTGCGTGCGTTGCGTGCGTTGCGCGCGTTGCGTGCGTTGCGTGCGTGCGTGCGTGCGTGCGTTGCGTTGCGTTGCGTTGCGTGCGTGCGTGCGTGCGTGCGTGGCGTGCGTTGCGTGCGTTGCGTTGCGTTGCGTTGCGTTGCGTTGCGTTGCGTTGCGTTGCGTTGCGTTGCGTTGCGTGCGTGCGTGCGTGCGTGCGTGCGTGCGTGCGTGCGGCGTGCGTGCGTGCGTGCGTGCGTGCGATGCGTGCGTGCGTGCGTGCGTGCGTGCGTGCGTGCGTGCGCGCGTGCCGTGCGTGCGTGCGTGCGTGCGTGCGTGGCGGGCGTGCGTGCGTGCGTGCGCGCGTGCGTCGTGCGGCGCGCGCGCGTGCGTGCGCGCGTGCGTGCGTGCGTGCGTGCTTGCGCGTGGTGTGTGTGGCGTTGGCGTTGCGTGCGTGCGCGTGTGGCGCGTGCGCGGCGTGGTGGTGGTGTTGGAGGGGGTGTGGGGTGGGGGCTTTTTGTCAAAATCTTGGACCTTGGCCGCGGGTGTGCGTGCGCGTGTGTGCACGGTGTTTGTGGGTGGGGGTGTGTGGGAGGTGCGCTTTCGTAAAACTTCTGGCATTGGAGTATGTGCGCGCGTGGTGGTGGGTGCGGGGGAGGGGGGGGGGGGGGGCTTTGCAAAATCTGCGCCCTTGCCGCGGGCGCGCGCGCGCGCGTGCGTTGGCGGCGGGTAGGGGCGGGGGGGCTTTGCAAAATTATGGGCTCCGCCGCGCCTCGTCTTGACGGTTAAGTTCATGGGTTGTGATGACGCGCTCGGGGGCGGCAGGTGGATCGAACAGTCCTGGGGGGGGGGGCTGGCGGAGGCGGGGGAGTGGCCTGGCGGAGGCGGGGAGCGGCGTCAGCCATCGATGGGCGCCAGCCCCTGGGTTGCAACGGCTATTCTCTCGGCGCACGACGCCGCCGTCACGCGGAGGACCTCGCGGCCTTGGCACATGGGCCCTCGAAACAGCGATCCTCGCGCAAACCCACGCAGCATCATGGTCTGACAAGAAACCGTATCCTTCGGGCGGGCCCAATGAGGCCCCAAGCGACGCCCGCGAGTTCTTCCCCCAAACCACATGGTTAATATAATAGCCCCGCTGATCCCCTGAGAGGGCCGCGGCCCTGGGCGCGCCAGCGGCGCGCCGAAAAACGCCTTGGGCCACGGAGGCCCGATCTGAGACCACGGGGTACCTCGTGAAACCCGCGGCCCCGGGAGGCCCTGAGCCCGGCCCCGCGAGGCCCTGGGCCCTGCAAGCCAGCTGTCTCGCGGGGTTCATAGGGTTCGGTGTTTCTCGCGCGGGGGGCACCCAACGGCGCCTTGGGCCACTGAGGCCCTGTCTGAGCAAAGGAGGGCCCGTGAAACCTTGAGCCGTGGGAGGCTATGAGCCCAACCCCGCGTGACCCCGGGCCCTGCAAGCCCGCTGCCTCGCTGGGCTCATAGGGTTCGGCGTTTCCCGCGCGGGGTGCACCGAACCAGGCCTTGGGCCACGGAGGCCGTGTCTGAGCCCAAAAGGGACCTCGTGAAACCCTGGGCCCTGGGAGGCCCCGAGCCCAACCCCGCGAGACCCTGTGCCCTACAGGGCCAGAGGCCCCGCGGGGTTCACAGAGTTTGGACCCCCCCTTCGCGGGAGGTTTCCGAACGAGGCCCTGGGCCGCGCGGGGCCTCTTCAGCTCCCCTCCTGGAGTTGCAGGAAAGGGATATATGTGGGCGCACCCCTCGCAGGCGCGCCCCCCCCTTCGAAAAGGGGCCCGGCGGAGGTGGGGGGGGGGCGGCGCCAGCCATCGATGGGCGCCAGCCCCTGGATTGCAGCAAGTATTCTCTCGGTGCACGACGCCGCCAAACGCGGGTCACACCTGCGCAACCTTGCAGGGCATTGAGGCGTCGGCACGTGGACATTCGAAATATTGATCCTCGCGCGAGCCCACGCAACATCATGGCCTGGCAAAAAGACGCATGCTTCGGGCGGGCACAATAAGGCTCCAAGCGACGCCCGCGAGTTCTCCCCCAAAACCACATGGTTAATCTGATAGCCCCGCTGACCCCCTGAGAGGGCTGCGGCCCTGGGCACGCCAGCGGTGCGCCGAAAAACGCCTTGGGCCACGGAGGCCCTATCTGAGCACAAGGGAGACCTCATGAAATCCTGGGCCCTGGGAGGCCCTGAGCCCAAACCCGCGAGGCCCTGGGCCCTGCAAGCCCGCTGCCTCGCGGGGTTCATAGGGCCCGGCGTTCCCCGCGCGGGGGGGGGGGGGGTGGGGGGGGGGGGGTGCGTGGAGGGGCGGGGGGAGGGGGGGTGGGGGGGGGGGGGGGGGGGGGCGGGAACGGGGGGGAACCGAACCCGACGGGGGACGGGGGGGGGGGGGGCGAACCAGGCCTTGGGCCACGGAGGCCTTGTCTGAGCCCGAAGGGGACCTCGTGAAAACCCTGGGCCCTGGGAGGCCCTGGGCCCAACCCCGCACAACACCAGGCCCTGCAAGCCAGCTGCCTCGCGGGGCCCATAGAGTTCGGTGTTTCCCGCGCGGGGTGCACCGAACCAGGCCTTGGGCCACGGAGGCCCTGTCTGAGCCCAAAAGGGGCCTCGTGAAACCCTGGGCCCTGGGAGGCCCTGAGCCCAACCCCGCGAGACCCTGTGCCCTACAGGGCCAGAGGCCCCGCGGGGTTCACGGAGTTCGGACCCCCCCGCGCGGAGGGTTTCCGAACGAGGCCCTGGGCCGCGCGGGGCCTCTTCAGCTCCCCTCCTGGAGTTACAGGAAAGGGATTTATGTGGGCGCACCCCTCGCAGGCGCGCCCACCCTTCGAAAAGAGGCTTGGCGGAGGCGTGGGCGGTGGCGTCAGCCATCGATGGGCGTCAGCCCCTGGATTGCAGCAAGTATTCTCTCGGTGCACGACACCGCCAAACGCGGGTCACGCCTACTCAACCTTGGAGGGCGTTGAGGCGTCGGCACGTGGACACTCGAAATATTGATCCTCGCGCGAGCCCACGCAACATCATGGCCCGGCAAAAAGACGCATGCTTCGGGCGGGCACAATAAGGCTCCAAGCGACGCCCGCGAGTTCTCCCCCAAAACCACGTGGTTAATCTAATAGCCCCGCTGACCCCCTGAGAGGGCTGCGGCCCTGGGCACGCCAGCGGTGCGCCGAAAAACGCCTTGGGCCACGGAGGCCCTATCTGAGCACAAGGGGGACCTCATGAAATCCTGGGCCCTGGGAGGCCCCGAGCCCAAACCCGCGAGGCCCTGGGTCAAGCCCGCTGCCTCGCGGGGTTCATAGGGTTCGGCGTTCCCCGCACGGGGGGGGGGAGGGGGTGGGGGGGGGGGGGCGAACCAGGCCTTGGGCCACGGAGGCTTTGTCTGAGCCCAAAGGGGACCTCGTGAAAACCCTGGGCCCTGGGATGCCCT